TGACATTGGGGGACACAGTAACATTAGGGGACCATATCCCCCATAATCACCATATTCCCCAGCATCATTGTCAATGCCACTGTGTCCTTCAGTGTCATCCCAGCAGAAGAGTGGAGTGAGGAGCAGTTTGGGAGGCAGGGGTGAGGGAGCGGTGGGAAGAGCCACTCTATGCAGGAGCAGGCACACTGCAGGTGAGTGCATCCCCCTCGGAGTTGTTAGGGTGTGGTGAGCGCCCCAGGGAGGATGAAGCAGCACAGACACTACAAGGTCAGCTCTGGCCCCAGGTGCCTCAACAGCAGAACCCAAAGCCCTGGTCCCCTGCCATCTGCAAGGCTAATAACTGACAAAAGCAAACTCAGGAGGTCCCTACATTTGATCCAAGAACAGTTCACTGAAGGAGGAGGCTGATAACAGAGGATGGCGAAACAAAGGAGAAACAAAAGGCAGGTGTCGTTACAGGTCAAGCTGACAATTGCCCCCGTGTACCCAGGACTGCTCCAGTGTTAGCCCTGAAAAGCCCGCCAGCCAAGACCCCACTGCCCCCCACCTCCTGCCCCAACTAACTGTCTGCATGCCCCGGGCAGTTCCTAGGATCGGGTGGCCTCTTTGGGGCACTGGCCCTGCAGGCAGGTTTTTGTTCAGCCACCCCCATGACTGAGCTCTAAAGGTGACCTCCTTTTGGACCTCCAGGTGGGCCACAGGATCAAGACCCCCCCAGGGGTTGCCTCATGGACCCAGAAAAAGATGCCACACGAAGAATAGGAAACCGAGTCTGCTGACCTGGCTGAGCGCCTGGGTGCAGTGAGACTAGAGAGCAGAACCCAAACTGGAAAGCTGGGCTCTTCAGTTATGGGAGCCAACAACTCTCTCCTTAGCTTAATGGATTTGAGTAGAAACAGAAAAGAACACAAGGCGAGGGGGCAGCCCCAGGGAGTGCCCTGCCTTTCCCAGATTCTGAAGCTGCATTTCTGAGTCAGGAAGGCCCCTGGGGGCAAAAGAGGGGAGAGGGGATGCAGCTCTGAAGCCCCTGACAAATCCTCCCACTGTGTCCCCATAGGGGACAACTGTCCGATTCCTAGATGCCAGTGAGGGTAGGGGGAGGAGAGAACATAACACAGGCCCTCCGGTCAGCTGATACATGAAGCCGCATGGATCGGTTTTTCCCTCAGTGCTTTTTCTCCTTTCAAAATCATGAGGTTCAACCCTGGCCAGTGTTTCTCAGTGCTTAGAAGGCTTTTTCTCCTTTCAAAATCATGAGGAGGTTCAACCCTGGCCAGTGTTTCTCAGTGCTTAGAACGTTGGCCCTCACACAAAAGGGTCACCTGTTCAATTCCTGGCCAAGGGCATGTATCTGGGTTGCAAGTTTGATTCCAGGACCTGTTCGGGGCGCATGCAGGAGGCAACTGATAGATGTGTCACTTTCACATCAATGTTTCTATCTCTCTCTCCCTCCCTCCCTCCCTCCCCCCTTCCACTCTTTGGGTGAGGTCTTGGGGTGAGGATTAACAACAAAATAAAACCATGAGGCTCCTCTCCCTAAGCAGGAGCAGGAAAGGACCTGACCTCTTTAACAAGACAAGCTACGTAGGCTAGATAGCAGGCCTGGCCCAGAGAGAGGGTGCCCTGCGTCCATTTAGCGCCTCTTTGCCATAT